AACCCTAAACCCCCAAACCCAAAACTGCGAGTAGAGCCTGAAGCCACGGAGTCGATCCAAGCCTTTAATTAAACCCCCCTGAAACCTTTTGCGAAAGGAACCGGGACACCAGGGAAAAGCCTGGCATCTCCTACTAAGCTTTCTTCGAGCGTGAAAACACTGTGTAGAGCACCCACTGGGGTTTTCGTCTTGGGGTGTGGGTGTCAAGATAATGTAGGGAGGAGAGAGTTTGGGGGTTCAATAGAGTGCACGTGCGGAGTTTGAGAACGTTCACGGCTGACGTCGAGGCTCAGCAGCCTCTGAATCCCTGAACCCCCATATTCGCCCTAAGCCCGAAACTTCGCAGGACCCTCCGACAAGGGAGGTTGAAGCTCCCGTGCGCGGTCTACTGAGGCTTTGTGTGGTGCAGCAAGCAGGGATCCCGGCTTCTTTCGGCGGGCACCCGGTCATAGGATCCCGACACTTTGGTGACTTTGGTGTATATGTTACTGAAAGTTCCCCTTCATGGTATTGGCCCTACTCCCCACAGACTTCAACAAGATCCCCTGTTGTGGCGCTGTTTGCTGCCTTGAAGGGGGGTTGATTGGGTTTTAGACTGTTTGAAGGAGTTTTGCAGGTATGTAGGGCCCATTACTTGCTGGAGAGAAGATGCTAGTGTTTCCGAGCTGTTGGTTTCTCAAAGTCAGCAAGGGCGAAATCTTGACATGATTTGGGACAGGTGTTGTGCTTCAGGCGCGGCTGCAGTTTGAGTCTGAAGTCATGTTTGAACAACTTTTGGCCGAAATGTCCCCACTGCGGATAATTCAGAAGTATAGTTATAGTACAGTATATACCACAAAAAACAAGGCGTGCGGGCCCAGGCTCGTCATGCCTTAGAGCCTGAAAGCGACGAAGCGACTTTGAGGTCAGCGATGGCTTTCTCAATGAGATGGATTGATCAGGGTTTAGGGTTTAGGGTTTAGGGTTTGGATTGATCCCGACGTATGCGCCCACTCCGAATCCCAAAAGCCTCCAAAAGAGCTCAGAAGTCATAGACCGTGCAACCCTAAACCCCAGCTTCAGCCCTGAAGCCCTAAACGCCTAAGCCGTGGAACCCTAAAGCCCGCAAGCCCTAAATGAAAGGGCGAAGTCGCTCTTTCCAGCCTTGGTAATGCCTGGGTGGGAAAAGACTGCAAAGTGCTGGACCAGAGCGGATGCCTTGAGTTTGTGGGTTTTGGGAGGGGCATTAGGGCTTCAGGGCTTTCAAGGCCTTCAGGGTCTACTGGGTTTCAGGGCTACTTTTGGTTAAGGGCGGGCTTCTCAAGGGGGTTTTTGGATTGGTGGGGAGACGGGTTCATCCGACTCTGGTCCGGAAGGAGGGGCTTTGTTCAAGGTGTTTGGTTTGTATACATGGTAGTTGGTGAAACTGATGGCCCGAGGGGAGTTGAAAACAACCTCCGTTTCTTCTTCGTTTTGGGGTTTTCGAGGGTTTCTTTTGCCCTCGTTTCCGGCTCTCCTGGCGTTCTTCTCCAGAATGCAGCCGTTGTCTCGTGTGCACTTGATGATGAGAAGCTTTCTGATGTTCGCAGCCTGTCTGAAGCCTCCAATTTTTCAGGGCTTCATGATGTTGATTGCCATGATGATGAACGCTGCCCTTATCATTGTGTCCTGCAGCGTTTCGGCCTGCCGCAGCCAGTTAGGGCAGTGGCATCGGCGCAACCATGCCTGGGGCACAGCTAAGCCCTAAACCCTAGGTTAGAGTTCTCTTTGTTGCCGTGGGTCCAGGCCGGTCGCCTTCATCACAGTCAAGCTACCCGACGGAAGCCTCGTGAAGAAGCTCAGATACCTCTCGGCCCATTATTTAAGTTGTTTTGCAGACTTTGCAGCGGCAAAAAGATGGGTGATATTGACTGTAATGATTCAAGATGTCCTAAATAATGGGCCTAGGTTGCCAGCGCAGAGATTTCTGCTAGAGCCTCTCAAGCAGCGGAGATAATTCAGGTCCATCTCGATGTCGACCTCAAGACAAGAATAGAGGTCTGCTACCCAAAGTCGCGTGCATCATCCGAGCTAGGCCACCTAGGGTTGGGAATCTGGGGTAGAATGTGCCAGGAGTTCAGATCCATTTTGGCACCAAAGTGAGCGGCTCAGCCTGTGAACTCCGAAAGCCTTATCCCAGGATCCCACGAAAACCCTAACCCGGAGGTGTGGCATCAAGCGTCACCGACAACGATTAGTTTTCGCTGGTCGGCTGCTTCAGGAGCGAGTCGAGAGTTTGTGTTTGTCTGCACTCTGAGACTTGGCAGAGGATGGCAGAACTCTGGAAGCCTACGGCGTAGACCGGAACAGCACGATCCATCTGCCAAGGCCTCAGGCACGCGTGTCTGCACGACGCGGATCTGCGATGATACCCGAGCAAGAAGTTTCATTTCCTGAAGTCTCAAGGCTTCACGGACAGCAGGGTGGCGGCGATGTGCGCCCGTCTACTTGTCGCAGATTCAAAACAAAGGCCCGGGTCGTTTCTTTCCTCGGCCTTGATCTGCAGGGCCCGTCTGGTGTCGACATCAGCCAGATGCCTCCGCAGCTGGGAGCCCTCCAGCCTCGGACTGAGGGCTGATGGCTTCTCTGGGATCCCCCTTTTTTTTTGGATCGGCTGGGTCTCGCATGGAGGCGGCACGTTCTGCAGAATCCTGACATCCTGCAGCAAATGCTCGAGGAGCCTGAGGGCTGAGGGTTTGCATGGTAGGGACAGGCCCCAAGCGTTGCAGCATGGCCTTTCTGTAGGCCTATAGCGGATGTAGATCTATCAAGGGCTGGCTCGAGGTTGCTTTGGAGTGAGCAGGCAAACCAAAGTCTGAATGGGTTGGTCTCATGTTGTCGGCATAGTTGTGAATTCAGAGACTCTTGCTTTTGCTCTGCCAGTCGCCGGCTATGCAGAGCTTGCTGAACGATCATGACTTCATGCGCAGCCTGCTCAAGATGGATCCCAGGCTGTCCAAGGCCCCGAGAACAGCATGAAAGTAAGCTCCTGTTAACAGAGTATAACGGGAGTTTCAGAAGATAGCGGACCACAATTTGGAGAGCTTCAGTGGTAGGATGCCTCACTAAAGAGCTCCTCAAAAGGAACGCCTACTGTTCAGGCAGGGTTAGATCGGAGCCAGCTTAGGGTCGTGAGGCAAACGGTTTGGGTCTGAGTTTGGGCCTGACGCCTCTATTGAAAGACCCTATTCGCAATCTCGACAGTGGCATTCACATTGCATCCTGTGATGATGTTGGTGGTGATCATGCCGATCAGGATGAGGATGACGAGGACGATGGCGATGATCATGCATTGCTGGTGTCATGGCACTCATTGCCACGACTTCACCCCCTGCGAACTGCCGTCACAAGGGCTTTTGCTGCTTTGTGTGGGTTTTTTTCATCTGAATGGGGCTTGGGGTGTCTCATACTGCAGTTAGATTGTCTACAGAGACTCGAAGCGGATACTGACCAAAACTCATGATGGCGCGCTTCCGGACAGCTCCTCGAGACCTGCCCGGAGCTGAACCTCATGCTCCACGACCCAGAGGTCATGAAGCAGGCGGGAACGCAGAGCACATCACCTCAAACTGAGTCGTCCTACCGGAAATTAAAACAGAAAGTAGAAATCCTGATGGCATTTGTAATATTGGTTGTTGGCTCAACGCCTATAGTGTGATCAGGTAATTGGCTCAGCGTTAATAACCGCCCTGCATGGAACCTGACGCCACCAACCCCTCGAGGGTCGGGTCCTGTACCCCGTGAGCCGAAGAACTTCAACCCCGGACATCCCTGGACTTACTGTTGATGATATAAATCCTGCATTATCTTAAGGACCCCAAACTATGGGAAATTATGGTACATTCCTTATAATGGGTCATGCAGGATTTATACCATCAACCGTATCTTGCAGGCGACGGAAGCGCTGCGAAATCCAGTGCATGTCCGCAGGGGACCGAGACCCTCAGTGGACCTGTGGATATATATATATATACATATATACATATATACATATATATATATATCTATATAATATCTTTTCCAGAGGGTTGGAAGCCTGAATCTCCAAAAGCCCTCCCCCAACGTCCTCAAAGATTCCTAACGCTAGGTAGGCCTTTGGGATATTTTATGTTTTCCCTTATTGGGCTTAAGAGGACCCTATTTACTAATATTTTTCAGAGGCTTTAAAGGGCCAACCAGTAAAGCCATCAAACCCCAGAGCCGAGGAGCCCTAAATAAAGCAAGCCCCAAGACTCTAAAGGCCCTAAGACATCGAAGCCCTCGAGGCCGAAGCCCTCAACAAAAACGCCCCGAGCCCGACTTTTCGGGGTCATGGCCAAAAACTTCTAAGCGGGAGAGTCTTTCCCTGATTCGACAGCATGATGCAGGTTTAGGGTTTAGGGTTTAGGGGTTTAGGGTTGTCGAACATACTCTTCGTCCTGGTTCAGGGTTTAGGGGTTTAGGGTTTAGGGTTTTTAGCTCCTCCCCTTACAAAGAACTACCCGAATACCCCCCAAACCTGAGTCTGAAGGTTCCCGGTACCTACGTTGCCTCCAGCCCCACCAAGTCCCTTCTAAGACCTGGTTGAGTGCGCTCGGCATCTTCTTCATCCCAACACCCAAGCCCTGAACCAGACGCGCCCAAAAGCAACCCACAATCGAAGCTGAAATTCCTGAACGACTGAGATCCTGCACCCTAAACTGGCCCTTAACCACCTTTTCTCCCCTGCAGGCGATGTCATTCGCAGCACTGATCGCTCGATGTCCCAGCTCGAGGCATTTCTGCAAGTTATACGAGGGCGGAACTGCGACAGAGCATTGGGATTATGGGTAGTTCTGTAGGCGGCACTGTTGGAAGCTCTTGATTTTATTTCCTTTATGGTTCTTCAGAGCTGCCTATACATAAAGACTGTGAGGGGCCGCTTAATTGCAATGCAGTTATGCTTGTTGATATGGTTACCTTCCCGTCGCCCTACTTCAGTTGCCCCCTGATCCTCAAAGCAACAGGGGCTTTTAAGTGGTTTGCTGCAGTGAAATTATGCTTGGTATAGTGCCACGGCTTGGATCTGCGACTTCTACAACGCCTCTATGGGTTAATAAATTCCACAGCTGGGGTCTGGGAATTGCAGGTTAACCCTAGACTCTAAACGCTAAACCCCAAACCCTAAACCGCCAAACCCTAAACGGCCCTAAACCCTAAACCCCTAAACCCTAAAACCCTAAACCCCTCAATGCCTGAACCCGCAGATGTACTGCAGGGGCTTGGAACCGGATCCTTCGACGTGCTGAGGCCAAGGATGCTGTTGAAACTGTACCGGATAGCCTTCGCTTTAGGGGTTGAGGGTTTTAGGGTTTTAGGGGTTTAGGGTTTAGGGGTTTAGGGGTTTAGGGTTTGGGGGTTTAGGGATTTGGGGTTTTAGGGGTTTAGGGCTTTAGGCATCTATCCATGTTCGCCCTGGCTAAACTTGCGGCTGCTGGTTCAAGGTTGATGGCTTGGCAGATTGGTTTGGGATTCTTACAGTATTGGCACGGGAAGCCGAGCTAACGCGCATGTTCTGCATGTTGGTGGCATCGTGCCGCAAGCTCTGGCGCCAGCCCACATGGACTTCACCGTGTTCTTCCGACATTTGGCAGGCAGATGTGCGAAGACATCCGGAGGCCCATGCAGGACTGGAGTCTCCCAATTACCATCTGAATCCATCTGCCCCTGTTTGCCCTGTCTGTCACTCGTGTGTGTGTGTGTGTGCCAGTGTCAGTGTATGTCAGTGTATGTGTATGTATGCAGCTGATCAATAACGCACAAAATTCTGCACGCGCTCTGGCTCATTCTGTACGCTATGTCTGCGAGAGGCATGTTTGTGAGACGCCATGGCTAATCTGTAGTCATGCAGCCATCTGTATAAATATGTAGATTCGCTCGAACATTTGCTCACATATGTACATGTATATGTGATAATGATATGTGAGCACAGGAGTTCTAAGTCGACATTTAGTTCAGGTCTTTCTCAGCATGTTGTGCATGCGAAAATTGACGTACACACACGTGCACGCGCGCGCGCGCACGCACGCACGCACGCGCATGCACGC